CCATATATTTTTGCCCTTGATTCTAGACCTTGTTGCCCTGGTTCACCAAGTCTTGGCATATTTGATGGAAGTGTTGCATCATTCTGGGCCCCTTCATTTTGGGAAATTGGTTTCTAGAACTTCTTACTTTTTAATCCACCCCCTAAATATAAAAGAGCCCCTGACAAAGACCCAGTTTAGTCTGAACCATCCATCATCATCTTCATTTGGCTTAAGATATAAAAGTTTTCAGAGCCCATCAAAACTCTAAAAATATTCCTCTCTTTTGATCTGGGTGGCATCTGTCCTGGTCATCGGCCCTAGGCTCAGACGGCCTGAATTATCTGTCCCTCTCATGCAGTCTTAGCTAAAAAAGAAGAGCTGGTGTGAATAATTTAAACCCCATTCCTTTTCCCCCTCTGCAGATTTCCGACGCCAAGCTGATCAGCGTTTCAGCACCAGCAAAGATGTGCTATTCCTGTCCCTGGGGAGCATTTCCTTCTTGGGAAAATGACTCTGAGGGGCTGCAGATGGGCGAGGAGGAAGGGTTCGGGCCAGGACAGTGTGCCCGTGCGTGAGCTGGCCGGCCCCTGTCTAGGTCCTTCCCTGGGAACTTCTGAGCTCAGTCCTCTTCTCCTCCTAGTCCAGGTTGGGGGCACGTCACTTGTCACTTGGAGGCCTGGTCTTTCATCGTTCCCCTCCTCCCTGGGGACCACTTTGTCTAGCGCTGGACTCGCCGGCTCCTCCTCTGGAGCTTCCTTCAGCCTTCAGCTGACTCAAGATGTCAAAAGGAAGTTAGTCATGGAGGGAAAAGTGAAGTGAAACTAGGAAGAAACCTCTAGGAACTACAGTTCCTCTCATACTGCCTTAATCACACCACGTGACCCTAAATGGGAGCCTGGGTTTTAAAATTCCTGCTTGTGTTAGCCCAAGAAAGGTTTTCCAGCCACTGGCTTGGTTTAAACAATCACGTGATCAAGTGTTCAGTAATTCAGGGGCTGGTGGGCCAGGGTGTGCATTATTCAGGTTCCTCTGCTTCACCCCAAGTTCTGTCCTTTGGCCAGTTCTTTCACTGGTTCTTTCAGTGGGGGGCGGTGGGCAGCGAAAGCAAAGAAAGAAGATTCTAGGCCATGGGGTTTGCTGTTTGCTAGCCTCCTGGCAGAGACGCCTGTCCCTGCAGTCCTGTACTGGTGGCTGAGCGTGTGTGCGTGCACGTGTGTGTGCACAGTGCATGTGTGTGTGTGTGTGTGTGCACACTTTTTTCTGACCTCAGTTTTAAGCTGTTGCCTTCCTGCTGTGTCTATTTAGTGACATTGAGCCAGAGAGATCACCAGTTCCGTGTGGACTGGAAGTGAATGCAGGCAGGTCCCTACAGGAGGGGGTGAAGTGGGGCTGAGAAGAAGCAAGGGATCTCGCACCAGCCTGTCCAACAGCCACTGTGCTCCGGCCCTGCCTGAAGCCCGAGGGGTGACAAGGGTCTCTCCATTTGTGCACCCCCCGAAGCTCGGAACGGTGGGGCAAGAGGTGCCCACCAAGCCTTGGGCATGCACAGGTCTCTACATCTCTCCTGCACGGTCCTGGGCACAGGGTTTGGTCCCCTCTGGGAAGGCCCCCCCAGGGTGTGACTGGGGAGGCTGGAGACATCCATTCTCCACGGATCAGCCTGGGTGGCCGGACGGATCTCGCGAATGGGTCGCGTCAGGTGGAGCGTGGAGGGGAGGCTGTGATCGTGGCTGGGAGAGCAGAGCACCAGCACGTGCTGAACCTTAGGCTTTCGTTCTGGCCTTGGAGACTGCCAAGGGGAGAGCGCTCAGGATTAGACTGCTCTCCAAGAAAGCCGACAATTCTGAATCTCTCCACTAATGTCTAGGTGACCCACACCCAGTCAGTGTCCTTCAGCCTGGAACCTCTGGATGGAGCACTGGACTCCACAGCCCTCAAGTTCCCTTTTAAACTGCATGTGCTCTGCCCCGCGCTCGCTCTTCTTTCCTTACTACAACGGGAGTGAGGCGGCTCTCGGAGGCCTGAGGCTTCTAGGGTCCTCCCACAACACCCCTGGCCTCCTGCCCTAGGCCCTGCAGGAAGCCGTCTCTTGCATCCAGCCAGATCCCTGAGTGCCACTGCTCTGTGCTGAGCTTCCCAGACATGGAGAGCGGGGTGTGCCCTGCACCCCTCCTGCCCACCGGGCTTCCTGTCCGTCCTTCTGCCTCCCACCAGGCTTGGCCTCCCAGGGGGAGCGGATTCCCGGAGGTGATTCCAACAGATTGGTGTTCACAGTCCAGCCCTCACTGCTCCTCATCTCTGAGCCCAGCTTCCTCGTCTGTAAGGTGGGAGTGACCGGTTTACAGTCTCTCTGGAGGCAGTGGAGTGTGGTGGGTCAGAGCACGGGCTTGGGGGCCAGACTGAGTGGCGCTCACTGTGGGGTGGGCATTTTAAAACTGCATATTGTTCTGCAGCCTCAGCGTCCTCACCAACGGGCTGTGAGCACCCTGCCTGGGTGACCAGTGCACCAGTGTGATAGGGGTGGCCCTGCCACAAGTTTCCTGCGCTCCCCTCCCCGCGCAGTGGCTGTCTAGGGCCTGTGAGTATAGCAGACTTTGTTTTCCTGCACCTCTCCTGTGCCCTCGCGGCTGCGCCTGACTGATCATCACCTAAAAGAACACAACAGCAGTGTGACTCTGGGCAAACCACTTTCCCTCCCCCTGCCCTCAGTCTCCTCCCTGGTCCAATGCACGAGTAAGAGTAAGCAGCTCGTCGGGGCAGGGTGAGGACTGAATGAGTTATACACGTGAGTGCTGAGAATGCGCTTGGCACACAGATTAGGTGGCTGGGACTCTGCAGGGTTGCTGCAGTAAGGATACAGGTGGTGGCTGTCAGTGGACGCTGGCCATTTGATTTCTAACTGGACCCTAGGTGGAACGTAGGGGGCTTTTCCCAGTGCTGTGGGGGACCACCAGCCTTCAGGGGCTCCTTAGAACCAGGACAGACGGCTCAGAGTCAGAGGGCAGGCTCCCAAGTGAGGGCTTCTGCCTCCCCTCTTGGGCTGTCGAGAGGTGAGTTCTGTCCTCTCTCAACACGATGACCTGGCAGGAGGAAGGAGGCAGCCAAGAGGACACAGCTCAGTGGCCTGCCCATGGGCAGACCTGCAGGCGTGAGGGGCGGAGGCTCAGCCTGCCGCCCGAGGCCAAGCTGAAGGCCCCACCTGCTAAGGGGTGCAGAGCCGCACAGGGCACAGGTGGGCTCACTGACATGCAGAGGAGGGGGATTCTCTCTCTGGGCCCAACAGCACAGGTCCATAAGCCTCAGTGCGGCACGGACAGAACGCACCCCCACCCCCAGCCATGCTACATACCCGGTACACTAGGCCACACCACGTGCCTTCATCTAGCTACAGCAGTCAGATCTAGGCTGTGCCCCGAGGCTGTCCAGGAGCTCAGCTGACCGACTGCACCCCCCTGTCGGGAATCCTCACGCCAGGCCTCACGGGAGAAGGCTGGGTGGGGGTGTGGTCGGCTCCAGGTACGCCTGTCCCTGCTGCTGGGAAAAAGCTCAAAGCCCATGCTCTGGTGGCCAGTCCCCTGGGGACTCTTATCCCACTGGCGTGTCAGCATGCACCCTGCCAGCACCCTGGCTCCGGGCTGTCCCTCACAGCAGAATCAAGAAATTCTTCAAAAGGGGAGAGTCCTGCTGAGCGAGTACACAGCGGCTCTATATCCAGGGCTAGAAACTAGGTCGCTGCCGGCAAGAGGCGGCAGGGGACGGCACTCGCGCTCTGGCCCGCACCTCCTCGGCCTCCCGCTCCCTTGGTCGCTGTGTGAGGGCAGAGGCTGCAAAGGCTACGGTGGATATGGGGGGCAGGGGAAGAGGGCACAGGGCCCCGTGAGGCTTCTTCCCGCTGCCTGATTCCTTTCAGGCTCAGCCTGAGACGTGGGTCGGTTCTGCCCGTCACACTTCCTTGCTAGTCCGGACGTTTTATAGCTGCCTGAGTCTGGAGTGGGACTCCAGGCCTCTGGCCTCCTTTCCTGACACTCTGAGCATCTGTGGCTCTTCTTCCCGGTTTCCTAGGCGGGAGCCTGTCAAAGAGCCCATGGTGCCCACAACACCAGCCATGAAATGCCCTCCAAGACAACCAGATCAATCAGAGCAGATCAGGCTTCTAGATCTAACCAGCAGGAGAGTATGTTAACACAGGGGTGTAATCGGAGATCCAGATTGGGAGAAACTCTATAGGACAAATGACCTGGGTACTTCGACAAATAAATAGCAAGAGGAAAAAAGAGAGAGAAAGAGAGAGAAAGAATGAGAGAGAGAGAGAGAGAGAGAGAGATTGGTGGTGGAGCTTAGAGACTCTTTTAAAAGAGACTTAGGAGACAAATCAACCCATTTTAACACATGGACCTAATTTAGATTCTGACTCAAAAAAACTAAAAAAAAAAAAAAGAACAGTTTGTGGGTTAATTGGGGAGAGCTGAAACTGCCTGGTTATTTCATGATATTAAGGAACAACTGTTACTTGTTTTTAAGTGTGATAATGGTAATGTTATCAAAAGTTTTCAAAGGATGATCCTTAAGTTTTACAGGTATACCCTGAAATATTTACAGATGACTCGATGCCTGGGGTTGCTTCGAAATCACCCCAGGGTCGTGGAGGGGCAGGGTGTAGGTGAAACAGAGCCCAGATTGGCTATGGGAGGGCAGCTGTTGAACCCCGAGTGATGGGAACGCGGGGCTTCATTACAATGTTTTTTTTCTGTATATTGTTGAAAATTACCATGATAAAATCTGGGAGGAGGAGGAGGAAGAGGAGGGAAGAGGGAGCCTCCTGGCTTAGGTCCTGAGAACCTGGAGACCTTGGCAAACACCAGACGCAAGAGCGCCCGGCCCCCAGCTTTCCCACAGCCTCAGCCCCTCCCGTTCCAGGGCTGGGGCCCCCCCACTTGCTGAGAAACCTAAGGGCCAGGTGGGTGGCGCAGGGCTCCCCCTGCCCCAGGAGCGCGCGGCGGGCGGGGCTGGCCACTTACCGTGGAGAGGCAGCCCCTCTGCTCCCGGAGGATGGCGCCGAAGCCCAGGAAGCCGGTCACCATGACGAGCGCGCCCGCGAAGATGAGAATGTAGGCAGAGGCGGCGAAGGTGCTGGAGGCCAGGACGCTGAGGTAGCCGCTCTTCTCCACCAGGGTCCAGACGCCCACGGCCAGGACGGCCGCCCCCCCGACCTGCAGGAGAGCCGGGTTAGAGCGGGTGACAGGGGCCTCCGCAGCTACGGTCGATGGTGAGCCCGCCGGCGCCCGGCACAGTCACCTCGCCTCGTTCCGTCCTGCAAAGGGCCTGCGGGGAAGAGTTTGGCCACCCAGTTTTATAGAAGGGGAAACTGAGGCTTAGAAAGGTTAGGAGCCTTGCCCAAGGTCACACACGTGAGCGAGCTGCGGAGCCGATTTTGAATGCAGGTCCGTGCCTCCTATGCGGTGCCTGCTGTGTTGCTGCAGCTGTGGGGACCGCTGCCCCTCCGCAGGTCCGCAGCCCCGGGCCCCCTCCCCTCGGAGCACTCGCCCTTCGCCCTGTCCACGCTTCCCTGGTGGGGGCACTTCTGGATCCGTAGACGCACCCACTAGGAAGCACAGCTGGGCCCCTCACGCCTGTCCTAGGGAGGGAGGAACTGAGGCCCACGCAGGAAAGGTGAATGGCCCGAGGCCCTGCCTGCAGTTAGGGCAAGGCGGGGAGGTCCGGGAGCCCAGGCCTGCCCGCTCCCTCACGCTGCTTCCCAGCTGCAAGGGCTGCGATGCCCGCGCCGGACAGGCTGAGCCACTCGGGCGCCGTGGGAGGCCGGCGGAGAGACTTCTTTGCTGACTGTCAGTCCTGAGGACGGATCCGGGACGGGACACTGCTGATCTGCAGGTCTGGGGGATGCCTCCTTGGAAACCAGAGCACCTGGGAAACGTGGCTGGAGTGGCTCCGCTTGTCCGGTTCTCTCTGTGATGAGGCTGAACAACCCTTTCTGTGACTGTCATTCTCAGCAGGGGACAACGTGTGTGTTTGTGTGTGTATGTACGTGTGTACATGTACACACACGTGAGTGTCCTCAAGGTGCCAGATGGGGATATTGGGGTTGTTTGCCCAGGATTTGGGGACAGGACTGCAGGGACCTCTGACCATCTCTGCCAGCTGCTCCTGGGAAGGTGACTCCCACCTGCCTTATAGTCTCCAGCCCCCATTTAAGGATGTGTCTGTTTCCTCTGATGGGTGGTGGATGCTTCCTCCTGGGTGTGGCCAAAGCTCGAGAAGCCCCCTGGGCTCTCTGTCCATGACCTCGGATGCTTGTCCCTGCGAGGTGTTCTCCACCTGCCCCAGGTGACTCTCTGTAACACCCACCTGTCATTTCCCATTCTTTGCTCTGGACAGCACAGACCTCAGCCCAGCAAAATGGAAGGCGGCCCTCAGCAATGAGCAGGTACCCACATTACTCAACTTACGTGCATGTTGCCATTTTCTCTTCTGCACTCTCAATAGCTCTGTGGGGATGGGACGGGGTGGGGGGCACGTATTACCCATTTTGCAGATGAGGAGATCGAGGCCAGGAGAGAATAAGAATGTGCCCGAGATGACACCATTAGAGAGTTTCAGAATTGAGACTCAAACCTGGGTCTTCTGAGGGCAAATCCAGGGCTCTGTCCTCAGATCCCACAGAGTGGGCTGGGCCTGCTCCTCCACTTACTCCTGTGTTTTTAACAGATACGATTTCTTCAAAGTGTCATTTTATCTCCACTGGCACCTCCGCCAGGTGAGAGCACCAGGAGGAAGGACTCCACCCGGGCTGCCGCTGCACCACCCCCCACACAACGGGGGAGGCCAACATGCCATATTTCTTTGATTCCGTGATGCACATTTTTTCCCTCACATTTTAACATCTCTAAAATTGGGATGCATCTTACGAGTGATGGAACTTGCAGTTACAATTGGCAGCACTTAGTGGTGTGAAAAACAATGTTGTATCTTACAACTGATGCTATTTTAGGGTCATTGAAATCCTGGACTACAACAGGTGTTTAAATTCTCCACGGTGTGGGTTACGTGGGGCCCACACAACCTTCGTGCCCCAGTGAGACACTTCCTGAGTCTGGGTTGGTGGAATTGTGTCAGGTGAGAGTTTCCAGCAAAATATCCTGCACAGAATTCTCTTTGCCTCCTACAGCATGCCTGGAAGGCTTGGGTGAGGGTCCCAACTAGCTGTGTGACCTAAAGATAGTCCCTTAACCTCTCTGGACCTGTTTCTTCATCTCTCAGATAGGGGAGTTGCATTGGACCAGTGGTTCCCAACCTGTAACCACTAAGAATCCCTTTGATCACTTTTCCCCATGGATCTTAGGTTTTGAGGGCTTCTGTCTACCAAACATAGTGCATTAATTAATGATTTACTTCTCATTTATTAATCAAAGACATATAATAGTTCCAGGAAGAGATTCTGAACAGCATGAGATAGTCAACGTGACCACACTGAGTTGATCTAACTCTAGCAAAAAGCCAAGAAACTTGGCTTTAATGAGTATAGCCTCTTTACAGAAATATGCACATTATCCATTATCCATTAGGCTTATTAATCCTGTCACCCCACACCAGAGCAGAGGCTGGTCATCTGCATCTGGGATCACCAAAAGGAATCTGTTTGGACTGACCTGGGGACGATTAATCTGATGGGGAACACGGAACCCACTGAGAATCTGATGAAAGGCTTTGTAACCTTGTCCAAAGAAACGGTCATCCCCATAAAACAACATACTCAGGCCAGCAGCTGAAGTCTATTTTTGTACCATGTAATGAGCCTGGCCTAGATGATGTCTAAGGACTCTTCCACCTCTTTGTCCCTCTAAGGTCTGGCTGTACAATCGCCTGGGGAGCTGTGAAAAACCCAGGCCACACCCCAGGCCAATCAGAGTCTCTGGCAGTGGGACCCAGGCGTGAGCATTCATAGAGTCCCGGGTGGTCCAGTTGAGAACCACTGCCTAGCATTCCTAATCAAGACGGGGTCCAGGCGTCCCACCCCACTCCTCCCGGTAGGCGGCGCTGTGCCGAGCTCCACAGAACCCGGAGGCTCCCTGGACAGGTCAGTCCCAGGAGGCGCCTCTGGAAGCTCCGGGGCCCCCACCCTGGGAGGAGCTGCCTGGGGCGCGACGGAGATTTGTTCAGCAACTGAACGCCATCCTGCCCCTCCGTCTGTGTTAGCGTGTTTTCTCTGGTAGAAGCTTTAGGGTAGAAGGTGGGGTAATGAGGAGAATTTTCAATGTAAAGGGGCAAAAATCAAATTATGCAAGAAAGGAAAAAAAAAATGGCTCCCAGAGGAAGGAGCGGCTAGGAGAAGCGCTGATCCGGTAACGCGGGGCTGCTCGCGCCAGGCGCCTGTCCGCCACGCAGGAGGGGCTGGCCTCTTGCAAGCAGGCTGAGCCCCAGGTCCCCGCCACAGCGCAGGGTCTGGGAGGGGGCCGGAGGGACACGCCACCCTGATTAAGGTCTAGAAAACAACAAACCCACACTCTCTCTGATGTCCAGAAGAAATTGGGGGATGAGTCTGAATCAAGGGAGACTCCGACCCTCCTCAAGTAGCCATCAGGATTGAGAGGGTTTCAAGTTCTCTCGGGGACCTCCCGCTTGGGATGCGGTCAGCTCTTTAGAAAACCACCTTCCTCTGGACAGGAAAAGTGAAACTGCTCACTGTTGAATGTGTCACCAGAGGGTGTCACGGGAGGCAGATGTCAGTAGGTCTGGGTTCGGGTCTGGGCTGTGCCCCTACTAACCATGTGACTGTGGGACAGACACAAAGCTTCTCTGAGCCTCAGTTTCTTCATCTGTAAATTGGGGGCACTGAATGGGAATATCTCTGAGGTCCCTTCCACGTGGTTAAATGTCCCTGTGGGTACCAGGAGGACAAGCTTCTGCCAATACATTTCCAGCAGGATGCTTCTGGACCGTGCTCATGGCTTTTGCCCAAGCCACCTGGAAACTGCCTAAGCAGCAGAGAGCAGTGGGAGAGGCCTGCACAGGAGGCCTGGTGGGCAGGGAGAGAGCTGACCCCAGAGCTGTTTCAACAACCATTTGCATAGAGTTGATGCGACAGTATCTGGCTCTTTATAGAAACTGGGTTGGTTTTCTGTGGAGTATTAACTACATTTTTCAAAGCCACAGCCTGTGGCCGATTAGCCAGCAAACCCTGCAGAGGGAGAAGCCAGGCAACGAGGACACGAGCAGGCTGAGGGGCACAGCGGGTCACCCATGCCGGGTGATCTGAGGACGTTCCCATTTATGGAAAGGAAACATTGCCAGAGCCATCGGAGGGAAGGACTGGCCTGAGCAGGCGCCCATGCCTGGGGCCACAGAAGTAAGGCAGCGGACCTGAAGGAAAGCAGGCAGAGGGTGTAAAAGTAACTGCAGGATTCTTCTTCGTCTTGCAACCATAGGGTTTCCGTGCTGGGAGCCAGGACCGTGGCATTCCTGACAAAGAAGGGTCCCCTAGGTGGGACAGTTCTCTGCCTTCAGTGCCCGGGAGCCCACGGCATGCGGGGGCGGGAAATGCACAGGGTGACAGTGCAGTTTGTTTGCTTGCCGGCACCTACTATGGGCCGAGCACCACGCTGCACCGGAAAGGCTTCCGGGCATCTATGCTCCTCCCACTCCAGTGCAGGGTCACTACTGACCTCCAATGACAGTCACGTGCCAGTTCCCCTCTGCCTTCGAACTTGTCCCCATCTCCCCACCGCACTGCCCAGCCTCGGCTCCGCCGGCTCCCGGCCCCTGCTCCACGGCCGGCATGCTGTGCCGCTGGTGCCCACGCACCCAGCACCCCCTGCAGAGACACAGCCCTGCACCCAGAGCACCAAGCCCGAGCTCTCCTGCGTGGCCTCAAGGCCCTTACGCACCCGGCCTTAGCCTGATATTTGGCTTCGTCCTCCACCAGTTTCCTTCCTCCACACCTGGGCTTCAACCACTACCGAGTGAGTAGTTGCTCTGTTTGAAAACACTGCAGGTGCCCAATAATTGCAGCAGTATCAGTGGTGTGTGGAGAGGGTGACCTCTGGGGCAGGGTGTCGGTGTCCAAGTCCGGCTCCTTTCTTTATCGGCTGTGTGAGTTTGGACAAGTTACGTGGCCTCTCTGGGCCTCAGGCTCTCTCATCCCTGCTCACCTTTCTCACCTGGTTCTCTTTGCCCTCCTCTTCCACTGAGCTCCTAC